GGAGGATCCCTGGAGCTCTGGAGTTTGAGAGGAGCCTGAGCAAGAGTGAGACCTGCTGAGCATTGTGGTGGCAGCACAATGTGGTACCACATTGTGGTAGTTCCAAGGACTCAGGAAGCTAAGGCTGGAGGATCGCTTGGACCCAGGACTTTGGGGTTGCAGTGAGCTAGGCCAATGCCATGGCACTCTAGCATGGGCAACAGAGAGAGACTTTGCCTCCCAAAAAATCATAAAAACTCAACTCTGTGCTTAAGTGATATTTTTTGAAAACTCTTGCTTTTAAAGAGTAGGCCACACCTGGGATAGTACATTACTTAGATACTCAAGACCTACAGATCAGTGTCTCTGAATTCCCATGCTCTAACACTGGTATGTGATTCCTGCCAACTGTTTTCTTGGGTTTCTTCTAGTAGGTGGTTATAAATCAGGTTTATGAAGAGGAAACTCTCTTGAATTGTGCATTTTCAGTGGATTTATGATAAAGCCATCAAGGTGGAGGGTCCATATGGTAGGAATGCAGTAAAGGTAACAGGACAGCGTCATGTAAACATTAAATACAGTACCTTCCACCTTCATAAATCTCCGATGCTCATGATTAAATGCTGGTGGTTATAAATTTTGCAACCAAATTCTAGAAACAACCTCAACTGAAATAAGATACCAGTGGAAGCCATAAATTGTTCATAGCTTTTTCTCCCCAGAAAACATTAGTGTGTTTATTAGGAAATAATATTTTCTTCAACAATTATTTTTCTCACTGTATTTAGCTTCCTGCACTAAGCTCTAGTTCTGATTAAAAAATAGTAATAGAAGCCTTTCACCCTAGACAATCATCTGTCATTTGTATGCAGTGAAATGCCTTTCTGATTTGCAGACTCATTTTAAAGCTTTCTTAATATATCTACCTTTAAGTCTCCAAGATGTTGCCCTTTTTAAAGTCATCTACCAGAAGTTTCTGGAACAGCCCAATTTCCCACAGGTATTTACAATCAAATTATTTTATTACACATGGGAACAATTAAGCATTTGGCCCTCAGCTGTAAACAATTACTACTCACAATGACATTCATGGGGTTTTCTTAAATAGTCATGTATTCCTAATGACCTCTGTTATCATAAGTGAGATTAATGTATGCATATTTTGTGTGTGTCCACAAGCAATTATATTTCCAAACACAATATTAAAAGAGAGATTTCACCTGGATAATATACTAACATTGTCTGACACCAAGTGGCTACCTTCACTGATCTAATGTATTTCATGCCTATCTCACTCCCCTTTTACTTCTGTTCCAATTCAATTCTAAAGAGCTCCTGGCGTCCACAATAAAAAACAAGTAAGGTTTTGGGTAATTTGGTTTTTTGATATTTGAGGTGTCTAATTCTAATAACTTGATAGCAGTGTTAGAAGTAGCCGAGAGGTATAGTAAATAAGGAGAGATAGAGCCAAATAGGGTTAGGCTTCAATCCTGGTTCTGCCCAATTCTAATTGAATGACCTTGGACAATTTACTTTTTAAGCTTTTGTTTTTATGTTTGAAAAATGTGCATCGTCCTAGCTAAATCATAGTCCTATGGCGAGTATCAAATAAAATATATATTTAAAGAGAAAAGGCACATGACACATATTTGAAACATATCGATTTCTCTATTCCCCCCACCCCCCATTCTCCCTTCCTAGAAAGGCCCATCAGCTCTGTGACTTTCCAATTTGGGAATCCATCCTTAGTTGTCTCAAGTTTAGGGATACATTTTCCTTTCACTAGATTCCTCTTTTATAGAAATGACAACCATGGGAGAAGCCCACAGCTGTTTTACTCATGTCCAGAAATAAGTCAACTGGTCCCAGTGGCAAGGGTACCTAACAGCTGTATCCAGCCTTTCTAAGAGGCCAGAGCTGGAGCCGAGTGGTTATGTTTCAAGGGCAAAGCTCCACATGTAAAGAATGATAAAACAAAACCTAAATGAGCCTGCACATATCTAGTGACAGATACACCACAGCGATCCTAAATTATTCAAGCTTTCTCAGACTTCTAGCAGGAGAAACATAATTTACCTCCACTCTCTTTATTCCACTTTCATAGGATGCCCAAGAAGGAATCAAAAACAAATTATTATAATCCCCTAAACTAAGAAGAGTTTCTTTAGCACATGGAATATTTTTAGAACCATCCAATTTCTGGGATTGAACTTTGGGAATCAAAGTTAAAATAATTCTGTAATACTTATGGGTTATTTCTTTACTTTTCTTTTGTTAGCATTTTGCTGGGGAAAAAGCTAGCAAAACAGCTGTTTAATTACCCAGGACATCACAAACATATAACCTCTTAGCTAAGACGTTACTGTATTTTAGCAGCATTAATACCAGAGTTAAAAGTAACAAAGGAAACTGATCTTCCAATAAGCAGATCTCAAAAGAACAGCTTTCTTTCTCTAATGAGAATAATTAATAACCTGTTTAGGAAAATGTTACTGAAATGTGGTTTTTGGAAAAGGAACTGACACTCTTTAGAGGTCAGATATCCTAATATTTAACAGGCTACCATTTGGTGTGCTGGTGGCTGGCTACCCTGTAGGCATGGCAAGAGTTTGTTCACATGTAATTACGCAACATTTAGACAATATTTTCCTGACACCATGTATTTCAGCTGAATCAGTCCAGTTGGAAATTGTAGCAGCATTCCGATTACCCAGCCACAAGTGAAATTAAGTCTTTTTCAACCTCTGCTTGTCACTTGCTATGTGTTGATACAGATGTTCTTGGAAAGCCTACATTATTTATGATTTGATAACATTTAGCCAAGTGAACCTCTCTCCTTTCATTTTTATCCATTGATTAAGATTTCGTTGCTATGTAAAATATTTAGCTTGTAACTTTAACAAGAAAGATTAACATACCTTGCCACACAGAAGAGATACAAGTACATTTTGGACAATTAGGATGGAAGTTTTCCAATCCATTTCATACAATAAAAACTGTATGCTTTTCTCTTTGTAGGTAATTCATATTGTAAATATAAAATTCAATGTGTATCATGGAAATCCTTTTGCTAAATAATCACACAGTGATCGTTATTTTAGAAAACAGTAATTTAAGGTGCATAATCTAAAATGGTACAGATTTGTTTTTTATTTTTTAATTCCCAGCACTCTGCTCAGTCCACTGTGTGGACATCTTCTTCCCCATCCTCCTAATCGAATGACATTACAAATATTTTGTTTTAGAAGTAAACAAAGATTTTAGATTTTAATCAAGAACCGTAGAGGCTACACATAGTATCCAATGAACTGAAACAACAAATACCTTTGAGGCAAAAGTAATCTTTACCATTAATGATAGACACTTTCTATGAATCAGAATGGACTCTGATTAATATCTTTAGTACTAAACCTAAAATGGAACACTTTAAAATACTTCTATGAATAATTTTATTACTTGTAAACATATCGTTAATTTTAGTAACTAGAAGTAGTAGCTGAGGAGGAATGGAACTCAATGTTCAACGTGTGTGAGTTCCCAAGGAAGAAAATGAAGTCTTGATTCTTAGAAATCTTAACTCAAAAATAAATGCTAGTACCTGGTACTTTCTGAAACAAGGAATCTTGACATACGTGCTGCACAAATTTAGGTTAGCTGACAAATACATGCTTGGACATCCCCAATACACAACCAATACACAGGAAAAGTTCCATTAAAGGCAACTTGGCAGTTACCACTGAGGTAATGCTAAGTGCTCATTACAGATGTTTAAATGTCATTGTCTGCTGTCTTCAGTGTGCCTTGACATAGCCTTGGGATCCTTTCAAATAACAATCAATAGAAGATGAATAAGTCTCACCACTTGAAAGTAACCAGGAAAGGAAGCAACAGAGTAATCTGGCTTTGGTGGATTGATTCAAGAAGAAACACAGTATCCACCCCTTCTCTCCTCCTCCCTCCCCCTATCCAGCCCACACCCATACTAGGAGGAGAAAGGGGGAGAGAGAGAGATTGAGAGAAAGACAGAGAGAGAGAGAGAGAAGCTTCTGGGGATCCCAGGCATAATGTGTAGTGAGGAGAAAACCTCACCGTATGGGAGAAACTATAGCCATGGAGACGGACTTATGACTTTTATTTTGAAAATAAAAGAATGACAATGAAATGTGTGTGAGGTCTGTATGAATCCAGTCCCAGATGTTTACAATGTTGTAGTAGTATGGCTCTGCAATATGAGAGGTTTCAGAAGAAACAGTACAACAGGACACCACAAAGCAGCGCATACGCTATTGACAATGCAGACAGGAGCATCATGTTACCAAGAGGGAAGGAGGCAGGAGACAAACAGCAGCGGTACTGCCTGAAAAGCCAACTTCGTGGACTGCAAGCACTCAAACCAACATAAGGGACCAGGAAAAGAAGAAAAGACAGAAAAAGAATAATCAAAACCAGAAAAAATGCTTTTCACTTCTATCTAGAGGTGGTGGGGTAAAAGGATGGGGGTGGGAAAGTACTTTCCTCTCTTAAATAAAGTTTCCATAAAGCCCCTATAATTGACAGTGGATAATTATTTTCAGCTTGAGGAGCCTGTCCCAAAACTCGTAACAAGATTGCCAGTGAAAAGAAACAAAATGTGTTTACTTGAGCTACATCCAGGAGGAAGGAAAAGGAGATCTTTGGACAAGGTGGGGAAGGGCGGTGGAGGCAGAAAAGGGCATCTTTGCCCCGCAGCCGCTCTCTCGGTGCCCTGCGTGGTCCAGCAAGTGACAGGATATACCGGAGAGAGGGGCGGAAAGGGTGGCGAGGGGTGGGGGTGTGGAGAGAGGCGCCTAGGGGAGACGAAGCAGCACAATGTATATACCGGGAGGGGGGGTGATTTAGTGTGAAAGTATCCCACTTAATCGTTTTACAGGGGTTGGGGACGTAAATATTTAGCTGGCCACATCTGGAACAGATTTCTCCCCCCACGGTGTGGGGTGGGGGCGGATAACTGGAAGAACTGGGAGCGCGCGTTCGTGACTTACTGTACGGGCAGTTCTCCTTCTTGGTACCGCCGACCTTCCCGTTCTTCTCAATCTTGAGAAAGTACTTAGTGAAAGAGAATAGCTTTCTCCAGCGGACATCTCCTTGGAGGTGATTGTAGCTCCGCACGTGCCTCCCCGCACTGGAAGGAGAGGAGAAGGAGGAGGAAGAAGAGTTGGTGGCTTCGGGTGACACCATGTCCTGACCAAGGGCTTGGCAGGTGGCAGGGACTGAAGACACCAAGAACAGCAACAAGAAGCAGCAGCAGCAGCAGCCGGGCAGGTGGGGAAAGGCTGAGGCACAATGTGTCAGTATCCATTTCCACATTGTACTGAAACTCTCGGCACTGGAAATTGTCTCATCAGAAGGAACATACTGGAAGGGTAAGACCTGGGGCAGGGCAGGGAAACAGCTGAAGGTGGTTGCTGCTGGTTAGCTCCCTCTGGGCGCGGATCTGGCCAGAAGCGAATGCGCCAACATCCATAACTCCTCGGGAGAGCCGCTGTCCTCGCTCCTTTCTCGGATTCTCCGCCTGCGCCTCTCCAGTCTCCGGGCGAATGGTGGACGTGGGTGGCCGCCGCAGCCGGAGCTTGCAGTGGTGGTGGCGGTCACCAGCGCTCTTCGCTCCCCCAGGAATTACTTTGTTCTCTTCTCACTCCTTTCTTCACCATGTTAGATGCAAAAAGGGTCTGAAAAACAGATGACAGCACGGTGAACAAAACCCAAAGGGGGTGGCGTGGGAGGTGGGGGGAGGTATCCGCGCCCCTCTGCGGTTGGCACCTTCTGGTCCCTCTCGGCAGAGCCCTCGCCTGCTAACCACTTCTAAAAGTGTGTCCTTTAGGAGTTGTCAGAACTGGAGGCAGCTGCCCGGTCGCCGTTGTTTCCTTCCCCGTCTTCTTTTCTGTTTTTAGTGGTGCCTGTTGATTTGAAGCCTCCAGAAAGTCACTTTTTGTTTGGGGGGACGGCGGCTGGTGTTTTGTTTGGCCCTAGCCCCCACCCCCCTTCCTTGGAAAGCCGCTTTGTAAACAGGTTGAAGCCTGGAGTCTGAATGTCAGTGATTCTAAGCCAGAGGTGGGCTCTGCCTCTGCTGGTCAAACCTCATTTGCTGGGGTGGAGGAGCGGGGGGAGGGGGTCAAACGGCGGTGGGACATCTGAAACCCTCGGCTGCTGGGAACGCCAGGGAGAGGGAGGGAGGAAGGGCTGAGAGGGGGGAGAGCAGGGGAGCAAGAAGAGAGCGCGATGCCTTTGCGCGGAGCTGGGGGCTGCGGGGTTCCTTCTGCCGCCGCAGCCTCGCCTCTGCCGGCGCCTCCCGCCCAGGCCAGTTGCTGCCAAGCGCCCTGTGCTCGCAGCGCTGGCCACCAGCGGCGGCTGTACCCTCCTGCTCCCCAACTTCGCTGGCCACCGGCGGCGGCTGTACCCTCCTGCTCCCCAACTTCGCTGGCCACCGGCCGCGGCTGTACCCTCCTGCTCCCCAACTTCGCTGGCCACCGGCAGCGGCTGTACCCTCCTGCTCCCCAACTTCACTGGCCACCGGCAGCTGTACCCTCCTGCTCCCCAACTTCGCTGTCTTCTGCTGGGAACTAATCCTCTCTGGGGAGCCTCCTTTTCGCCTGTTTTCTGATGTTGATTTTTTTCCTTTCTTTTGACAGTGGAATACTTGAAAGCCACCTGGAGCTTGGTGCTTGGCTTCCCCTCCTCCCCGCCCCCCGCCAGAACGAGGTGGGGGAGGGCTGGGAGAAAGCCCGAGATGCTGAGGATAGACCCTCCGAAGCAGCCGATTAGAGCTGGTCGGGGAGAGGCAGAAAGGGGCGACCTCATTAGCTTCCTTTCCTCTTCTGCCAGCTTCCAAGGAGGTCTCGGCTTTAATGAATCACTGATTTCTCGCTTCCGTTGCTGAAGTAAAAAGTTCACACTTTGGCCCTCTCTGATTTTTAAGCTCAGGGAGATTTATCGTCACCCTTAAAAGTCGCCTCTCTTGGTGTAAATAAAATCTGGGACCCAAGTAACCGATTTCTAATTGCTAACGTGAGTCCCTTACTGAATCAAGCGTGCACTTCAAAGGGAAGGGACGTTATGGACATCGCAGAGATTTTGCAACACGATTTGACCGAATTCCCTGCCGTTTCCTTTTCCGTGCCATTTCCTTTGCGGTTTGACACAAAGGGGCATTTTTTCTATCTTCACCTATAATACGATATTTAAATGGTTCTGTTTAACCATTATAACAATATAACTGCACTAACAGTCGCACCACCTCCCAACTTCCGCGCTGCTCACAAAAACTAGCTCACAGCCCAGATAGAGGCAGAACTAAGTCCAAGGCTAGAAAGGCTTTGCCAAAGTTTAAGAGGCACAAAGAAGGGAGCACAGTGACAATCCATTCCCATCTGGGTGAGAGACATTTCCTAGAGGACCACTTCTTCAGAATTACTCTAAACCAGGCACAGTCTGACTGACAGGACTGCCTAAACGTGTATTGGTGTGAAGTATTGGTTATGTAAGGAAGTGGACTTTTCTGTCTGGTTGAAACTGCCAATGTGTTAATGTTTTCTTTCCATCTACAATGGTGGCAGTTTCATAGGGTTCAACCTAATTGTCTCCCAGTCTAAGATAGGAAAACACTTCAAGGCGAATTTGAGGGCTTAACAACTGCCTCAATAATTTGGAGGGAACTAATCAGAGGAGCCTGCAGTCACAAAATAAGCCGGAATCTTTATAATGGGCATTGGCCTCAAACTTTGCTGTGAACCAAAGAAAATACAAGGAAATTAAAAAAAACACTTAGCTTCAGAGATACGTGTTAGGAATCATTGCCCGATTACATATTTAGTGATTTGAACAGTAGGTTTATATGCATGATCTCTTATATTTCCCTGTGCATTCAGAGTATTGAAGTAGAATCACTTAATGCTAGCATCAACATTTTAATTGCATTACTTACAACTCATTGCAGTGCTTTTTCAGAAGATTTTTACAATGTGGTGAACATAACAGTAGATTTTTGAGTTTAATGTAATGAGCTCTGCTATCTGTAGCTATTAATTGGAACTTAATTAAGCAAACAAAAGAGCATACGTCAAACCAATCCTACACTTTGATTAAAGCATGGATATTTAAACCCATACTGCTAATTCCAATTTTTGAGTTCACAATTTTATACCTGAGTGGGAAACTGCTTGACAGAAAGTGCTGTATTTCTAAGGGATCTGAGTTTCAGCTCAAGGTTTCAAAATAATCCGAATGTTTGAATTGATAACTAATTAAAACTACTTTTTTAAAAAGCTTATGTTTGATGAAACCATACAAGAAAGTTTCTGCTGTGAAAAGTTACCAAACACAGGAATTTGTTATGTGGGGGTTTCTTTACACAGGGAATCAATACTATTGATGCCAGCTTGAGATTTAAAAAAAAAAAAAAAAGTTTTAACTCACACCGGACACCCTCCCAATCTAAAACTGGTCTCTGTCTCTGTCACACACACACCCCTACCAACTTTCTGCTCCTATAGAAGCTATTCAGATCTTTTAGCTAGAAGTTTTATTTTTTTCTACCTAAAATGAGAGAAAAGACATCTTTAAAACTTTCATGTTAAAATATAGTTGTAGCAGGTGCAGCGTTTGAAAGTTCTAGAGCCCTTTCGCCACTCTTCTGTACAGCGTGATGACAGGAAGGGCATTTACAAAACAGCCCAAAGGAAAAGCTGACATAGCTTTTTAGATTATATCTCATTCTTCTTTTTCTTTTCTGTACAGCCTTTCTTTTATAGCACAGTTGAATCCCTAAATACCCCACTACTTTGCATTGTTAGGTCACCTCTTAGGTTAGCCCGAGAAAGCCTGAGAAAAGTTCCACAGGAAAGATGCACTATTTAACGGAATTCAATCTCTCCCAATAGATTTGAATCACTAACATAAATGTATGAATGTAGATTATATCTCTGTAATGAGGCCTGAATCATTCTCAGTTACTTCAAAGGACTGAAATTCTACCTTCCTTTTTTAGCAGCAATAATCAGGTCTTAATGGGTTCCTTTATTAATTGTTTCTCTGGTAGGATTGAAAAGGACAGTACAAGCTTCAGATTAGAGTGGTACCTACTAATTCTAAAAGGCTCTTTTTCTCTTTTATCCAACCTCTGGAAGGCAAGCTTTATTTCTATGCCCTAAACATGTCTAGTAATATCAAGCTAACTCTGTATGGAGAGTAATAGATATGTGCCTTTTGCTAAATGTGATGTCTTAAGAAATGATCGAGGATTTTTAAAGCCAGATCATAGCAGCGGCCATCGAAGAATCCTAAAACGTGGCTCCTGAACCTCAGAGAAGCAATCTGCGTATGTGCATGGTACTACCAGATCCTTCTTCGGTAGCTACTCCGTGCGAGCAGTTTACATTTTAAGGGTGTATTTCCTGGATTCTTTATGTTGCTCAGCATTATCTGTGGGTCAGTTACAAGACACGCATTCTAGGATGTGTGATGTTATTGGCCATGTCAGTAAGCTGCTTCAGATAAAGCTAAGTCAGGTTAAAAGCCAGCCAGGCTGTTCGGTGATTTAGACATGTGCAGGCCTTATTTTTTAAGCCTGTCGTGCAGCTCTGCCGAGTGTGTGTCCCACCCCGTTTTCCCTTTTGGATACAGGAGTGGCCAGTTTTAAGGCATTGTAAGAGCTTTTGGGCTTCCCTTGCTGCAGCTCAGTGGCATGTGGGCAAATGAAGTAGTGATATCTTATTATTATTATTTTAGTTAAGAGCTTCAGGTGAAAGGAAAGGAGGTGTGAACCCACAGAGAGGAATGGAAGGCCTCGGAGCCCGTGGGAATCTTAGCAGTAACTGAGTTTAATGCATGCGTTTATAGATGAAGGAACTGATACCAGGCCACTCAGGAGTAGAACACAGTTTGGAAATCCCATCCTAGACCTTAGGCTAGTACCCTAATTTTTGCAATACCTGTCCTGTTTTCTTTTTTCTTCCTCCCTGCTGTTCTTATCATTGACCACTCATCACTCTATTATGTTTGAGATGCCACGCTGGACGTGATAAAGAAGAGTGAAGAGGACTTCGTTCTGGAAATTCCATATATCTTGGCTGCAATAGATGAGCCAGAGGAAAGTAATAAAGTAGTTTAGTGTTAAAGTACTATGTACCAGCTAAGCGGCCAAAATAAATATTGGTATATTCTTGGCAAAGGAATATATTTTATTAGTTTGTGTGATTCATGTAATGAGAAAGCAATGTATGCTACTTATTTTCAGGCTATCTAAGGATTTTTAATATATAATCTGAATTTATAAATTATCTACCAGGAAATTGATGACACCATCCAGGAAAAAATATTTACAATTTGATCCAGCTTTCTATGTTCTAATATTCAGTTTCCACAAAGCAATGTGATATTTCAAAGTGTAAGTATTTGCCTAAATTTTTTTTTTTGAAGTTTGAAATTAAGGTAGATTTTCTCTTCCCTCTCTTAATAATCTGTGGTAGAGAAATATGGCCAAAATTGTGAAGAAAAGGATCATTAGAAAGAAAATATATATATGTATATATGGGAATATTTAACATAAATCACCAAAATTTCCTAGAAATTGAACTACACATCCTTGGCACCAAATACTGCAAACGTATTTCCACAAAGCCGCTGGTGATAAACAGAACCTTCCCTTAGCAAAGCTGTGAAGTCCCTGAAGAGTTTTGGTTTCTGTGTTCTCAGCCATCCCTCTGTAGATCTGTGCCTCTTTCCACTTCGGAATTTAAACATTCTGATATTTGCCATTTATGTCTGTGAATTAGGTGGCAGATTATCAATATTTTTAGAGTGTTAATGTCTTGCCACAACAGACATTTAGACTGTATTTATTGCTTCATCTAGTCACTTAACTGGTGCTTATTCAACTAAAGTTTATTGAGTACCTATATGTGCTAGTGAGGCATTGCTAAGTAAGGCAGGTTTTTTAAATAAATAAGACAGAGCAGCTCAGTGCCTGTGGCTCAAGTGGCTAAGGCGCCAGCCACATCCACCCAAGGTGGCGGGTTCAAATCTAGCCCGGGCCTGCC